AACAATCGCGCTAAAACAAATGCTATATCAACGAACGTTAACTTCAACAATACGCCTCTCTCATTATCTACACACACATTAATTCCCGTCACGTTGTCACCCTCTTTTATATGCCAGACTACCCTATATCTAATAAATCCTAGAGCATTCGCCAAGGTACAGGATAGTTCTAGAAACGTGGCGTCACACTAGTCATGTGACTTTGCTGACGCAACAGTATGTTACCTCAAGGCTGCATAGATTACCCCACGTTTCTTTGTAGCTGTTGCACTTTAGCAGTGGTACTTTTGTCTATTTGCTTCTTTTAATGAACACAGAAAGGGTTATGTTTTCACTTGATGCTGTAGTAAGAGTATTACCTATATTGGTGATCATTCTTATTATACAGAGTTAAGAAGAGATTAATTCCCATTTTATGCTAACTTAAGCATAACCTCTTCATCAGCCTTTCATTTGACATCTCAAACCAGAGATGATACAGATTGTTGACCAAGAGAGTATAAGCTCTCTTGAGTGATCTCTATGGAATGTAGTCTTAGCTCACGACAAGGATAAAAGCAACTTTATGAGTACTTACATACTGTTCATAAGGGTGTTATGTAAGCATTGCTGGCCTTAGCCACTGTAGAGCTCTAGGCAAGATACAGTATGTGGCACCTTCAAGTATTTGGTAATAAAAACATGACACATTTGTTAATGGGCCAACCACGTGAATTTTTGTATCTTAACCACATCTTTAAGAATCACTCATAAAAAATATCTATATAGATCACCCATTACAAGGGGCCCTAGCAAGCTGCCATGAGTCTGACTCTGTATCTGAGCGGATAAAAGTGCACACAAAAATTTATAAATAAAGGTATATTATTTTCTAACTATTGCTGAACATTTTTAATCATTTTCTATCGGTGTTGAATTTACTTAAACATTTGGTTATCAAAACACTGACTTTGTTTTCATCATTAATTTGTTACAAAGTGCATGGACAGAAGGATATTTTCATGTAAAACAAAAAGCTTTTAAGTTTGTATGTTTAAATCCCAATTTATTTTGTTAGAGAAACTAAAGGTGTGAGTTCTAAAGTTTCTGCTAAAGTAGGAAGAAAAATTATCCAAGCTCTCCTGGCTTATGATGAAGAGAGATATGAAGACGTAGTTTCACTGCTTTACCCTCTACGCTATGAGATTGTTGAAATTGGTGGAAGTAATGCTCAGGTGGGTTTTATTAATATCCTCTGTCAGTATTGTGTCGAGGTAAAATTGTACTATTTTATATAATTATAATTTATGTAAACTGCTGAGTGTCTTATTTTGTAGCCATAGTTTAGTTAAAGATTTTTGTGTGAGTTGTTGTTGGTATAGGTTTGATACGATTTTAAGTATTAGTAAATATAATGGTTAAAATGTGATATCAAATAAACATACCTTAATTATTTAAAATATTGTTGGGATGAAAAAAAGAAACTCAGCATTTTGGCTAAGGTTTGGACTAGCCAGCTGCATCATATTTGTTCTTTAGAAGTGTTTTTTGGTTAATACGGAGTTATTTTTATTCAATTCCTAGAAGGACTGTTTGTTGATAAGCACAAAATTACACAATGGGCTATTTGTGCTGTGCTCACATTGGGTGAAGAAACCCAGTTTTCAACATTAGAAGTCCATATATTTACTGTTAAGCCCCTTTGAATCCTACGTTAAGTCCAGCACAGAGGTACCAAGGTTGGTACAGTCATCTGTATTCAAGGCCAGAAAAGGCCAGCTTTACAGAAAAGTTTGAGGGACTTTGCTGGCACTGTAACAACCTGGGCA